GCACATATTTTGTGGTTGTCATTGTGAAGAGTCAAACATCTGAGCACAAGCAGGAATGATCAAGTATTAAAAACACCAGGACAGATTACGTCACTGTTTTATTTTTTTAGTGTCCTGACTCGTTTTGAGATAAAGTGTGGAACAATGTGTGTTATTCATTACATGTTAGTGAAAGCTTGCTGTGTTTTCTGTTTTTATTTTACTTTGTAAGACGAGTCAGTCAGAAACTAAATGAGACTAATGACAGCAATAAATGTTGCCATACACTCCTGTGTGTTTGAGTCTGTTACTAAGAACTTTGATGGCTTCACACTGTGAGAGGATGATAAGGGTGTCTCATTAGCCTTTAACTTACATTGCAGCGCCATCTGCTGGCTGAGTCACTAATAAATATAATTTTTATTTTGTATTCTTTTTCTGAATATCCAGTTAGCAAAGCTATATTCATTTAGAAAGAACCTGAAATATGTGCACAGATGTGCAATAAAATAAAACAACTTTCTTGATACCCACACTCACTGGACCATAAATGCAACAGAAATGATTTTTACTACAGAGCAGCAGTTAAAAGAAAAAAAAGGCCTGAAACACGTGCTGAGTCAAGAGATTGTCTGTCTTTTGTTTTTGTTTTTTTAACAAAGTGCAGTGCCCATTTTTTCTGGTCTCTCCAATTTACTGATGTTTAAATATGTTGTTTGCAGGCAATCATAAAGTTACTGTTTGGACAAGAGGGCAGCTCTAAGGATGTGCTCTTTGATAGCATGTGTGTGTCTGCAAGACGTGGCTGTGCAATTATCATGAGTGAGTCAAGTTATTTTTCACCAGAAACCAAAGACAACAAAAGTAATTTAATTGAATACAAACAAATAATATACCATGTACTTGTATCTTTATGCAAACTGGTCATTTTTGTCGTATTCCTGTTATACGGTTAATGTTAAAATTAGGGGGTAAATAAAGAAACATAGGTGAACACTCCTGTCGCTGACAGGTGAACACCCATGGCACTGATGGGTGTCTCACATGGGAAACAGGTATGTCCCGTCGGTGAAAAGTAACATTGTTAAAGAAAGAAGTTATTAATAGTCTCACAGAGAATGTTAGGAGTGATTCCCTCAAGTGTTTTTCTTGGCAGCAGGGTTTAATAAGTCTAGGGGGGGAAAGGAGCTGTGCTGCCTCAGTAGCGTAGTACAGTGGAGCATGTGCGATGGGTTGTCCTTGATGGACAGCAGTTCGCTCAAACATCTCCAGATTCTGGCCAGTGATGGTTGCAGTTTCATGAATCTGTTTGCTGATCCTGCTGGTACTCTGCCACTGATGCTAACGTAACAATGACCCTCTTTCCTTTCAGCTGACATATCTTTGAATCTCAGTCATTCATGCATTTTAGTGAAATGCTACCAAACCCTTGAGACCAACTCCAAATATTTTATCAGCTTAATCTGTCACAACATAATGAAGAAACAAGCCTCACCTGGTCAAATATTTATCAAATTACTTTTATGCTTCTGAAAATGACAGACTATAAAATACAGCTGTAAGTCCTAACCAGGCAATGCAATACTTTTTAAATAACCTTCAATTAAAGCTGCACTTCAGTCATGATATAATATATGGCTCACCAATGATTTATTAATACTCCCCTACATGCTGTATACATAGAAATGCTGTTAAAAGAAAGAGGAAGTCCATAAGCACAACTCAAATTCATTTCAAATCTACAGTTTCCCTATACAGATGTCATTCTGATTAAATTTGAGCTCATAAAATTGTTTATAAAATGTTTACCCTCTTTTCAGACATAAGATTCAAATGCATCTTAGCTGGAGTTCATTTCTTATCTAGCTTTATTATTTCGATATTTATTACTGTCATTATTGTTATCAGTAGCAGGTTGGAAGGTTTATAAGGACATTTAATGATAACATTTAATAAACATGCTATCAAATAAAGATTTTGTGTTTTAAAGCATTTTTTTTTTATCATTGTTGTTCTCAGAACACTGCACCAAACCAGTTGGGCAAAGATGGTTGATAAAGATCTTACTGGAGTAACGTATCTATCTAATGACTGATTCTTTTCTTTCTTTTCCTGTGTGACAAATTTAGGCCCTCCTTGTTTACGCTTTAGTACTTCCCTCATCAGCCTCTTTCCTCATTCTTCACCTGGTTAGAGGTTGATTAGCAATTCCTGGCTAACGTCACTGGCTTTCCTGTTCCATAATAATTGGTGTTGGCCATGTATACTTCATTGACCTTTTTTTGTTATCCTTTTGGTTGAGCCCTTGTGGCTGTGGGTTTTTCTTGTGTGCCGTGGTTTGTGATCACTTCGGTAATAACTTGCTGTGTGGTGTGTGAGTCCTGGGATGGGGGAAAGACCTGTAAATTATGGAGGCACAGGAGGACTGTTATTCATTACATGTTAGTGAAAGCTTGCTGTGTTTTCTGTTTTTATTTTACTTTGTAAGACGAGTCAGTCAGAAACTAAATGAGACTAATGACAGCAATAAATGTTGCCATACACTCCTGTGTGTTTGAGTCTGTTACTAAGAACTTTGATGGCTTCACACTGTGAGAGGATGATAAGGGTGTCTCATTAGCCTTTAACTTACATTGCAGCGCCATCTGCTGGCTGAGTCACTAATAAATATAATTTTTATTTTGTATTCTTTTTCTGAATATCCAGTTAGCAAAGCTATATTCATTTAGAAAGAACCTGAAATATGTGCACAGATGTGCAATAAAATAAAACAACTTTCTTGATACCCACACTCACTGGACCATAAATGCAACAGAAATTATTTTTACTACAGAGCAGCAGTTAAAAGAAAAAAAGGCCTGAAACACGTGCTGTCGATACAATTTACTGATATTTAAATATGTCATTTGCAGGTTTTATAAAGAAAATTTTAAAAAGAAAAACTAAAAATAAATAAATGGTTCTTTGATCATTCTTCTTCTCTGAACACCAGCCAGATCCGTTTGACAAAGGTGATGCCAGCATTACCTGCTTTATATTACCAAGAAATCCAAGTTATATTACAATGGTATTAGCTGAATAATAAACAGAGCTGGAGTGGTAAACTGTTGTTTTCTTATGGAAGTTATTTTATAAATCAACATTTTCTCAATTTTGAGTTAGAAATTCAGTGATAATTACCTGAAATATTGTGTTGTGAAGAGCAAAAAATGATTTGTTTGTTTTTTGTACTTTAGTGGCTTGCAAGCTTCAATAATAGAAGAAGTAGAACTGTGGCAGCTACTTATTTTCTACAAGTGTTTGTTTTCACCGCTCAAAAAAACATGATTTTCTTTGTGGTTTAAATCTAACATGATACATGTAAAACAACAACAAAAAATATGCATTTCAAAAGAAAAATATTTGAAAAATATTTATTTTATATTCCAAAGTGGTTAGCATTTGAATTTGTCTTATTAAAACTATTAAATGATATCAAGTTGCTTTCATGATGCCACTTGGGAGAACCATACACCATTTATATTAGGTAAATACATGCAATGCCGATGAGCTGGCATATGAGAATTTGGGAGAAAATCAAGTTATACTATTTTGAAAAAAAGGAAAAAAAGAGTCTATAATTTTGAATGGTGGGAAAATATTGAGCTAGCCTTCTTAATATATATATATATTAAAAATTCCCCTCTCGCCCCTGCGTGTGGTCTATCCTTTAAGCTCGGGTCCTCTACAAGAGGCCTGGGAGCTTGAGGGTATCTTAGCTGTTGCTAGGACTGGGCTCTTCTGGACAGAGATCTCCGATGTTGCTCCGGGAATCTGCTGGAGCCACTCGAAGAGCTTGGGAGTCACCGCACCTAGTGCTCTGATTACCACGGGGACCACCGTTACCTTCACCCTCCACATCTTCTCGAGCTCTTCTCTGAGCCCTTGGTATTTCTCGAGCTTCTCGTGTTCCTTCTTCCTGATGTTGCTGTTATTTGGAACCGCTACATCATTATTTCATCTTCTTCTGTTTGTCTACCACCACTGTGCCCAGTTGGTTAGCCACCACCATTTTCTCCACCTGTATCTGGAAGTCCCACAGGATCTTAGTTTGGTCAGTCTCCACCAATCTTGGGGCATCTCACATTTTGACCTCAGGACTTCCAGGCCATATTCGACACAGATGTTTCTGCATACTATGCCGGACACTCGGTTATGGCGTCCCATGTATGCCCTGCCTGCTAGCAAACATTTGCAAACACACATGGAAATACTGTATAAAGTAATAGATAAAGTTTAGCTGACTCTGTCAGGTTTGCAATTCTAACAAGCTTGAAAGTCAGTTGAACATTATTCTTCATCACACCGTGGCGCTCAACTAACATGCCAAGTCCTAGGGAGGCCAATCCATGACTAAAGATGTTACATTGTGTGTTTTTCTATCTCGCATACCTTTGACTCCATTGCCATTTTGTTTGCTGTGTCATTCTAAAAAATGAAGCCATTACCAATCATTACCAATCTGCTTTCCACATGTAATTTCATGGGATGTTAAAATTTAATGGTACATTTCTGTGTTCACAATTCCATCAGTTTTAACAAGATCTCCAACACCATTGACTGAAATGCAGCCTCACAATTTCATCACTCCATCAGACCTGCCACTCATTTTCAGTCCAGTTCTGGGTAATCTGGAATACCTCAGCTATTTCCCTTCCTTAAGAAGAGCTTCTTGACTCCCACTTAGACTATTTCAGATGAGATTTCATTGAAGAGTAGATGGATCCGCTGAAGGGCCAGATGCAATGCATAAACATTCTTGGAAGCAAAATAAAACAAAATGAGATGTGACTATAGACATACATACAATATTGTACAGAAGAAAATAACTAAAAACTAACAGATTTTAATTGTATTGTTTATTTTCTTTTTACTTTATGCGCATAGGTCTTCTGGATTGGCTTTTTACAAAACAAAACAAAACCCCTTTGAAGCACCAGTTCCAAAATATTTTACTTTGAAAAGTTATTATTGTTTGAAAACGTGATCCGGAAACGCTGCGCTTCCGGTGGCGAAGTTGACGGCATCACTGCGATAACGAGGCGCAGCTGCGGTACTTGAAGACGTCTGAGCCGCGGACTGCACAGCAGACTGGGCCGTGAGGCAGTCAGCATCAATGGCTCCGGTGCTTGCGGAGTAAAGAATGGGCTCCACGGCATCGCAGCCATGGCCAGATCCACTAACAGAAGCGGCGAGGATGGGGACCCACGGGTGACCGCCCCCACGGACCGCGACGCTTCCCGGGACCTGGCGGAACCCCGGGAACTGTCTCTGGAGGAGGTGCTGAAGTCCTACGAGCAGCCCATCAACGAGGAGCAGGCATGGGCGGTGTGCTACCAGTGCTGCAGCGGGCTCAGGGTGCCCCGCCCGCCGGCAGGGAGAGTCAGCCGGGTGAAGGACCCGTCCTCCATCCTCCTCCACAGGGACGGAACCGTATCGTTACAGCGGGAGCAAGGATATGACGGTAGGAGAGGCGGCCGCGGTTACTCCCAACTTTCCGCTATCTTGATAACTAAAAGCAAGTGCGGAAAAAGTGCATTTTAACAGGATAGACCAGTTGCCAGAAGCAGCATGGCCTTTGCAGGTTTACCTGTCGTCAGTTTTAAATATTAAAACCCACTTTTGAATTCGGCGTAGTTTAATTTCCATTTTTGTAAAAAAATTAATAAATAAATAAATAACCGCTTTTTTTCATCCGCACCGCAATGATTTCTCCCAGTAAACTACTCCGCCTCAGTGAGCAGCGCTTGTGTTTATATCCAGAAGTGTACTAAAGTGCTCCATGCTTTGTTCACAATAATAACGCGGAACTGAAGAGTGTCTAATATTGTTTCATATAGTATCATTATGTCGTATTTTATCTACCAGGAACACAAATCTAAAGCATTTCGTCCTAAGTTATTCGCATTTAATACAGAGTTTGGCTCACAACGTCTTGCTCAGTAACGGACGCCGCGGTGCTAACCTGTCCCGTCTTAAACAGCATCAATCCCTACACTGCTGACCCTCAGCTGGATTATTTGGTCATTTGCGCAACCCCGAGCTTCACTTACTCAAACTGCCTTTGTGTTTCTAATATTTTACACCATCTAGATTTTGTCGCACTACTCGTGCCAGCAAGGATGACTCGTATTATGCCGGTAAATGATAAATTATTCATGGAGCACCGCTTTCCCCTAGCATCTCCTTATGCAAAGACTGTTTTGGAGACATCAAAGGGTGGCTAGAAGCCCAGAGGATTTTAGGCTGCCTTCCTCTTGTCCCCTCCGTGCTGAAATTAGCCCGTACCTGCATACTATCCTGCTGCATGTAAAGTATTTATGTCCTCACTGCAGCTCAAGAGGAGGCTGCACGGAGACACTTAAGTCAAAACTCAATTTAATCCGAAATAGGCAAATTTGTGCTCAAACTTTTTTCACCTCTCACTCCAAAAATCTTATCTTAGGCAATGGCGACACAATATCTCCAGAAATTCATATTTTGTGCTTAAAGTCATGTCTGTAACCTGTTTATTTTGCAATTAGGCAAAATACAGCAAGGATATTTCTTGCCAGCAGCCCTGAGAGAAGATACTTTTACATTTTAAAATATGAAAAGAATATTGGATATCAAATCTCAGGAAAAACTGTGAAATGCTGAGCTCCTTTTCTGATAAAGTCTCCAGGTGAATATACAGTAGCAGCTGTTGTAACAGCTGTTCAGAGATCAAACAGGGAGGGTCTGTGTGCATGTTTGAGGATGGCACTTTACTTTTCTTTCTGCCATTTGTTCAAATGTCATATAACATGCTTATTAGTTAATCATGGGTCAGTCATGGTTCTGATGTTTACATGAGAAATGATCATAAAGAAAAAGTAAAGTTAATGTAACCTTTTTGAAAAACACAGCATTAATTTGCATAAAATGGTTACACTGTTTCAAGGAACACCTTTTAAATATGAGCTCATTACACCATCATCCTGAACTGTGACCTCAATAATAAACATAAAGTAGGATTATCGCTTTTTTTTTATTAGATGTTATGTCAGTGCTGTTGGAGTGAACTGCTTTAGATTTAGAAGCTGTCATACAGGTGTGGGGAACGGGCAATCAGTGGAATGTGTCATAAATAATAAATAGCAAGCCAAACCCCTTAAACTGGTTGAAAATTGACTTCTAATGATTGTTACTGTGGACAGATCTTGATGACGAGGCATTAGAAGATGTGACTGCAGTAAAACAATAAGGGAGAAAACTTTTTAAGACAAGATTCCTCCTGTTGGTAATGGAGCTAACAAAATGCAGCGTGGTTACAACAGTAAAGAAGGGGGAAGGTAGAGTGTCTGACTAGGACTGGGCGATATATCGAGTTTTTAAAAAATATCGATATATTTTCATATGAGATATAAGATGTGACAATATCGTTTATATCGATATAGTCTATGTTACGTTATAATTATACTCGTGGAGCCGCAAGTTTGCCTCTCTTTCGTCCACTTTTGTCTCTATGCAACTTTACTCGGCCTCGTCTCTCCTTCACTGAACACAACTCCCCCTCCTCCCCCATCGCTTCACCTGCAGGCAACGACAAGATGGACAAATCTCTGTTAACGAGTTACCGTGAATCGCCCCCATGCGTGGGGCTGGACGGCGTCAACGTGTTAGCGAGCTAACCGCGCTAACGACATGCATGGCCTAAAAGCCTTTCATTTTCTCAAAAATCGACAGTGCGCCTTATGTATGAATTTTGGTTGTGCTTACTGACCGCAAACCGATTTTATGCGGTACACGGCGCTCAGCAATCTGTCAGTAAATGTTTTAGTTCGACTTTGGTAAGCTACGGAGCTGCACCGCTTGATGGATTGTCAGAGCATTACGGCTACCGTAGTCCGGAGCGTCGCAGAGTAATACGTACTGTGCTTCAACGTAATATTACCGTATTGTGTGTGTATAAGGACCATAAATGGCACCTGTTAAGAGACACGGTTACGAAGCAGATTTCAAACTCCAGGCTGTCAGTCACGCGGTAGAACTTGGGAACAGAGCAGCTGGAAAATCTGTCTTTGTTATTATGGTCAGGGTCTGTTAGTTTACATTTTGACTGCACAATTGTGAGCTTTTTGTTATGCACAAAAACAACATTGTTTTCTTTTATTTATGGAGCATTATTATTTAATAAATGCTGATAATTTATTTTTCAGTCATTTCTTCATGTACATCTACGCTGTATGTTATTAAAAGTGCCCGTGTGACATCTGGGACACAGCTTTGACTAAGAACTCTCTTTTTGTTCTTAGCTTACGGCTTAAAAAAATATCGAGATATGTATCGTATATCGCCATCCAGCTAAAAAATATCGAGATATGAATTTTTAGGTCACATTGCCCAGCCCTATGTCTGACCCATCGTTAGTTTTAAATTTGATGTTGCAAAGTACAGGATTTGGCAGGCAGTGGACCAAACTACTGATAGGCATATAATGCATTGTTTTACATCTCTAATCTACAATAAGCACATGACTTTTCAATATTGTTATTTAGCATTACACAGTTATATTTACAATAGTTCACTGAGGAGGAAAACTATGCTTTTAATCAGAATAAGGGAATAAGGAGTCTTTTGGCCACCTCTCACTGCTTGACTCATATGACGGTGCAGCTTTTTGGCTTCAGGATAGACCAGCTAATCGAATCTCAAGGTGGGGCTGCTTTAGAAACTAAAGACGACCTGTGGCAACACTAGTCAGTCTAGAAAATTGTTAACTGTTGTTGTGATATGACGCTATATAAATACAATTAGATAAAATCTATGTCTGCAAAGGACAAAGCTGAAAATCAGTATTGGATATGATCCTTGAGGCCAACACTTCATCAAAAGCAGGCATGATTCTGTCATGAAAATCACTGCATCGGCTCATGAACACTTACAGAAATCACTGACCATGAACATGGTTCACCAAGCTGTGTACAATGCAGGTTAGGTTTCTGCCATGCAAAGAAGAAGCCATATGGGAACATGAAGTGTCTTGTCTGGATCATGTTGTTTAAAATGGACATTCTGCGGTGAGACAAAATTTGAAATTCTCTTTGGAAAACATGGATACCACGTTCTCCAGACTAAAGGGAGAAAGGCCATCCGGCTTGTTATCAACAATCATTTCAAAAGTTCATTAGTGCCTATAGAATTGTCAGTTTGGATATCTGGATAGGCATCATCAATCCTGAAAGATATAAACACATTTTAGAGCAACATGTGCTCCCATCTAGATGATGTCTTTCTCAGGGAAGGCCTTGCATATTTCAGCAAGACAATGTTGTTAAACTGCCTACAGCATCTACTGCAACAGCGTGGCTTTGTAGTAGGAAGGTCCAGGTGCTAAACTGGCCAGATGTTCACAGACTGCTGCTAAAAGAAGAGAGGATGCTGCACAGTGGTAAACTTGACTTTTTAGAGTTTTTTCTTTTCTTTTCTTGAAATGGGGAATTTTTCGGTTTAAACTTATGTTTTCTATGTTCTGTTTCTTTTAATAAAAATATGGGTTTATGAGATCTGCACATCACTTTATTTTGTTTTTATTTTACACAACAGCAGTTCCAACTTTGGCATCATGAACCCTTAGATGTTTAGCTCTCATTAACTGAGAGCTGGCTATCCTTGCAGCCTGTGTTGGTTTACGCTCTGCTAGTCCATAAGTAAACGGTCCAAATCAAAGCAGTGATGCAAATCCCTAAACCAGCATGAGGTGGTGAGTTTATTATAGTCTGTCTGCATTATTAATGCAGCTCGTTGGCTACAGGGACATTTTCCTTTCTTTATGTGGCCGTATTCACCCAGAACAGCATACTACACCATATAAAGGTTATCTTATCTTATCTTATCTGAAGTCCAAACTTTACTTTGTAATACTGCCCTTCAGACATGGAAAGCTGCAGCAAAGCATCCTGACTACATTATAGTCCCATCTCCATGCTTGGCAATTACTGTCATGTTGTTGTTGCTGCTGCTTTTGTTTTACTCCAGATGTACGGTAATGAGGCCTCTGACATCTAATCTGTTGCACTATTAACTCTTCTGTCAAAATTTAGATGACAAAATTTTCTGGATATTCTTTTTTTTTTCTTTCTGCAATATACAAGAAAATGTCAAAAACAAACTGCTTTGTTTTCTGAGAGGTTTAGTTTGTTTTATGTATTTCAATAGTCATCTGATTCCTTGACTGTGAAAAGTGTTTGGTTTTAATTTGATGGGTAATTTATGTGGGTGTAATTTAAGTAATCTACCTCTTTGCTTTTAGCAATGTCAAATTGTTTCCATTTTATTTCTTTCGGGTAAATGTCAGCCTGTTATTTGCTCGTTGAGTAAGTTGTGTATAAATGTCATTTTATACTTTGATATCAGATATTTGATATATTTGATATACAGGGAGTGCAGAATTATTAGGCAAGTTGTATTTTTGAGGAATAATTTTATTATTGAACAACAACC